CTGGGGCAAATCATATGTTACATCATTTTCCTATAAAGAAAAATCAATCAAGCTGACATCAGACTTCTCTGAAGAAAAACTATGGGCAAGCAAAGAGTGGAGAAACATATTATAATGCCAGCCAAGAATACTTTACCCTGCAAATCTCTCCATCCTCTCTGATGGAAAAATAAAGACCTTCTCAAACAAACAAACTCTTCAGGAATTTACTAGTACTGAACCCCCACTCCAAGACATATTACATGAAGCCTTAGAATCTAAACCAACAGAGGAATGGACAGGAAGAACAGAATGAGGTAATGAATAGAACCACAAAGAAAGTGGCAAGTTCAGACTTCTATTAGATATAAATGGACTAAACTCATCAATAAAAAGACAGAGTAGCAGGCTGGATTAGAAAACAGAATCGAACCTTCTGCTATCTCTAGGAAACACCTAGTTGAATAAGATAAACATAGATTGAAAGTAAAAGGTTGGAAAACAATTCCACAAGCAAATTGGCAAGGACAGCCATACTTATATCAGATAAAATAAACTTAAAACTAAAAATGGTGACAAGAGCCATAGATGGTCATATAAAATGATCAATAGGACAATGCACCAGGAAGACATAATACTCATCAATATATACTCAACAAATGAAGGAGCATCAAAATACTAATGTCTTTGAAAACAGACATTAGAGAAAATATATATGTAATAGGAGACTTCAATACCTAACTCTCACCAATGGACAAGACAAAAAATTAACAAGGATACAACAGCCCTAAATAAAGACTTAGATCACATGATCCTAGAAGACATCTATAGGACATTACATGTTAAAAAAAATCAAACACATATTTTCTCAAGCACACACGGATCATTCTCCAGGTTAGACCATGAGATGTACATCAACAGATAAATGAAGAAGGAACCATACCAACTCTGACCATAAAGGCATCAAACTAGAAATCAACCCCTAAAAGAAAGTAAGGAACACTTCCATTTCATGAATATTGAACCACATATTACTGGAAGACTACTGGATTAGTGAGGAAATCACAGAAGAAGTTTAAAAATACCTTGAGATGAATGACAATCAGGACACAACTTTCCAGAATGTATGGGACACAGCAAAAGCAGTAATAAAAGGGAAATGGGGCCTACAGAAACAATAAAGGACCCAAAGAAATAACCTAATCTCCCACCTCAAAAAACAAGAAAAAAACAACAAAAGTCAGCAGAAAAAAGGAAATAATAAAAATTCAAGCAGAAATAAATGAAATCTAAATTAAAAAAGAAATGCAAAAGATCAATGAAACCAAATGCTTGTTCTTAGAAAAAATGGACAAAATAGAAAACCTCTAGCCAGGCTCACAAAGAAAAAAGGGAGAAAACTCAAATAAATAGATCATGAATGAAAGAGGAGAAATTACAACAGACCAAGTGGAAATCCAAACAATAATCAGAGATCACTATGAACATTTATATGCAAACAAGTTCAACAATATAAAAGAGATGGACAAATTCTTAGAATGAAACAATCATCCAAACTGGATAAAGAAAAAATAGAAACCTAAACAAACCAATTACAAGCAGCAAAATTGAAACAATAATGAAAACCCTTCCCAAAAACAAAAGCCTAGGATCAGGTGGTTTCACAAATGAGTTCCACCAACTGTTCAAAGATGAACTGGTGCCTATCTTTCAAAAACTCTTTCAAAGAATTGAGAAAGAAGGAATACTACCAAATATATTTTATGAAGTCAGCATTACCCTAATCAACAAAATAAACACACACACACACACACACACAAACCTGAAGGCCAATGTCCCTAATGAACAGTGATGCAAAAATCCTCAATAAAATCCTAGCAAACAGAATCCAAAAATACAACAAAAAGGTAATACACCATAACCAAGTGGGATTTATTCCAGGGGCACAAGGATGGATCAACATCTGAAAATCAATTGACGTAACTCAACACATCAACAAAAAAAAAAAATTAAAAAATATAATCATATCAATAGATGCTGAGAAAGCATTTTACAAAGTTCAACATAAATTTATGTGAAGGTCCTTGAAACTCTTGGGATAATAATGACCTTGAATATAATAAAAGCCATATATGACAAACCCACAGCCAATATCATTCTTAATGGTGAAAAACTGAAAGCCTTCCTTTTCAGATCTGAAACAACACAAGGATGTCACCAGTGCTTTTCAATATAATACTGGAAGTCCTAGCTAGAGCACTAAGGCAAGAGAAAGACTTATAAGGAATCCAAATAGGGAAAGAAGTAAAACTATCTCTATTTGTAGTGATATGATAATATATAGAGGGCATTCTAAAAGCTCAATAGAAAAACTAATTAAAACAATAAACCAGTTTAGCAAAGTACAAAAATCAATACACAAAAATCAGCGCCTTCCTATATGCAAACAATTAGTCTGCAGAGGAAGAAATTAAGAAAACAATCCCATTTACAACTGTACCCCCCCAAAAGAAAATGAAATACCTGGGAATAAGCCTAAGAAAGGAAGTGAAAGACCTATACAATGAAAACTATGAAACACTGTTAAAAGAAATAGAAGACACAAAGAAATGGAAAGCCATTCCCTGTTCATGGGTTAGAAGAATTAACACTAATGACCATCCTACCAAAAGCAATTTACAGATTCAACACAATTACAATAAAAATCTCAATGGCATTCTTCAAAGAAATAGAATATATTGCTGAAATTCACATGGAATCACAAAAAACCTCGAATAGTCAAGGATTTTCTGACTAAAAAGAGGGAGAATGGCGGTATTATACTCCTAGACTTCAAACTATACTACAAAATCATAATAATTAAAACACTATGCCACTGGAACAAAACAGACATACAGACCAACAGAACCTAACTGAAAACCTAGAAATAAAGTTACATATGTATGTATATAAATATATATGTGTGTATATATAGTCAACTAATCTATGACAAAGGAGCAAAGAATATGCAATAGAACAAGGATCATCTCTTCAAAAATGGTGCTGGGGAAACTGGACTGCTACATGCAAGAGTGAAACTAGACCACCATCTCACACCACACACAAAAACCAACTCAAAATGGATAAGACTTGAATATAAGACCTAAAACCATAGATGTATAGAAAGAAACATAGGCAAAACACTCCATGACATGCAAAACACTCCAAAACACCTTTAAGGACTCATCTCCAGAAACAAAGAAAATGAAGGAAACGTTTAATAGCTTGAACTACATAAAAAAAATACAACAACACACACATTTATGTACAGAAAGAGACAATAACCACAATAAAGACACACCTACTGACTGGGAGAAAAGTTTGCACTATATACAACCGGTAAGGGACTGATTTCAAAGAGCTCACATGACTCCGTAAAAACAAAGCAAACAATCCAGTCAAAAAATGGGCAGAACTGCTAAAAAGACACTTCTCCAAAGAGTAAATGCAAATGACCAACAGGTGTATGAAAAAAATGCTCAACATCTCTTGTAATCAGGGAAATACAAATCAAAACCACAATGAGATACCACCTCACACCAGTGAGAATGGTCCATATTAAAAAAACTCAAAACAACAAATGCTCACGAGGATGTGGAGAAAAAGGAACCCTCTTATACTGCTGGTGGGAATGCAAACTGGTGCAACCACTATGGAAAGCTTTTGGAATATATCAAATTACTAAAAATGGAGCTAACACATGACCCAAAAATTCCACTCCTAGGAATCTACCCAAAGGGCACAAAAACATTAATTCTAAAGGAACCCTGGATGCCAATGCTTACTGCAACACTATTTATAATAGATAAGCTATAGAAACAACCTAAATACCTAAAAACAGATGATTAGGTCAAAAAGATGTGGTACATATACACAATGGAATACTACAGAGCAACCAAAAAAGATAAAATCATGCCATTCGCAGCAACATGGTGGTGGAAGGGACTATGCTCAGTGAAATAAGCCAGAAAGAAAAATGTCAGATGGTATCACTTATAGCAGGAATATAGGGGAACTGAACAAAGGGTTGGGGGGGGAGACAAAACTAGAAGGCAAATTATAGATCTGAGATATGCAGCATGGGAGGGGGGAAGAAGATGGTGAAAATAGGGGAGGAAAGAGCACAGGAGACTACAGTGTCGGTTCACTGTTGAGGTGGTGATGGGAGATTAATGGGGATTACAACTGAGGGGAGAAATCAGATACACAAAACCCAACAACAATGTAAAAAAAGAGAAAAGAAAAAAATTATATGTGGAAAGAAGACTGGATACATGGATGGATGTGAGAGCAATCAAGTTCAGACAATGTTAGTATTAGAATCTAAATAGTGGGTATGTGCATGTTGATAGTAAAATTTTTCTGACTTTGCTATACATTAAAATATTTTCATAATTAAAAAAACCTGAAATTGCAAATACCATATGGCCTAGCAATTCCAGTCTTGGGCATCTATCCAAAGAGTATAAAACCAGCAACGCAAAAAAAGAATACACTCAAAAATGTTTATTGCTGCACTCTTTATAATAGCTAGGACGTGCATGCAGCCTAAATGTGAATCAATAGACAAATGGATCAAGAAACTATGGTAAATCAATCACACTATGGAATACTAGTCAGCCATTTATAGCATAATGCAGGGAAGTTCAAGGGAATTATGTTCAGTAAAGCAAGTCACAATGACAAAAGCAAAAATACTGGATATATAGTTACTCTTTTGTTATATCTATAGGTGAACAATCTCTACTGGTAAGTAATAAACTGGAGATGGAAAGGACTTTGTCTCTAGCTCCTCCAAAGTATCTAACACGTAGATTGAAAGGGGAAAAAAAAAAAAAAAAAAAAAACCAGCAACAAAACCTTTTCAATAAATTTGTTGTAAATACCCTGGATGATTTTATTCTACCCTCCCAATATGGTTATCCAAAAGGCAAAATATCAGCTTCAAAAAAGTAATACAAAAACAGAAAACGTTTTCTTACCTATCTGAATATATTTCACTCTCATCTTTCCTAAATCTCTGAAATATTTTAGGAAAACCTGTAGAATGAAACATTAAAAACCTTGGCCACTCGCTCTAAGCCAGCAGTTCTCAAAAGGTCAAATTTGTGTCCCGGGAGATATCTGGGAAGGTTGGAAGACATTTTTTGATTGTCAAGAAAGGGTCTAGGGGCTAAATGGCATGGGCAGGGGTAGAGGCTTTCCCCCACCCCCAAGACACACACCACCCCAAGAAAGAGTGATCTTAATGTCATAATTGGGAGGTTGAGATTCCTACTCTAAATAACTGCTCTATCCTTTGTTTTAAGGAAGGTGAGTGCTTTCAGTACAGAAGCTAAATACAAAATGAGTTGTTTTTTGCAGGATGGTTTTAGTAGCAACGCACCCTGAAGGCACCACTCCAGGAGAGTGGAACGTGCCTGCATGCATGAGAGCCGGACAGACAGAGCGAGAGCGCGGGACAGACAGAGCGAGAGCGCGAGACAGACAGAGCGGGAGCGCGGGACAGACAGAGCGGGAGCGCGGGACAGACAGAGCGAGAGCGCGGGACAGACAGAGAGCGCGGGACAGACAGAGCGAGACAGACAGAGCGAGAGCGCGGGACAGACAGAGCGAGAGCGCGGGAGGGAGCGCGGGAGGCGCGCGGGACAGACCGCGACCGCCCGCCAACGCCCGCAGGAATGTCCTAGAGGAAGAGCGCTTCAGACGGCACCGCCCAAGCTGCAGTCGCGGCCTCCGCAACAGCCCGGGCGGGCCGGCCAGGCCTGGGCCAGGAGCACCGGCGGGGGGCGGGGGGCGGCCTGTGGCGGGCAGACGCGGCAGCGACGGGCCCGGGCCGGGACGGGGGAGGGGGAGCGGGAGCGGGAGCGGGCGCGGGCGCGGGGCGGGCGCGGGGCGGGGCGGGCGGGGCGGGGGCGGGCGGTACTTCTCTGCGTGGAGAAGCTCCAGGCCGAGCCGGCGCTGGCGGGGCTGGACGGCGGGCTCCACGACAGGCTGAGGCTGGGCGTGCTGCTGAGCGGCGGCGTCGGGCTCAGGCTGGGGCTGACCACGCTGGCGAGGCGGGGGCGGGCGGCCTTCGCGGCGTCGTCGTCGTCGTCGCCCAAGTCCAGAACCTTCCAGAAGGCGTCGTCCCTGGGCCTGCCGGGCCCTCCTCGCCTTCCCTCTCCGCCGCCCCGCGCGCCCCTTCTCCGCCTCGGCCTCCGCCGCCTCCCGCTCCGGCTCCTCCTCCTCCCGCTCCGGCTCCTCCTCCTCCCGCTCCGGCTCCTCCTCCTCCCGCTCCGGCTCCTCCTCCTCCCGCTCCTGCTCCTCCTCCTGCTCCTCCTCCGCGTCCTCGTCCGGGTCGGGGTCCTCCCGCTTCGCGAAGCCGCGCCCCGAGTGCATGTCGGCGGTGGCGGGACGGCGGCTGCGCGGCAACGGCTGCGGGTGGCCGCGGGCGGGGGAGGCCGCGGGCGGCTCCTCCGCGGGCGGCTCCTCCGCGGGCCCCGCGCGCCGGCGGTCTTGGGCCTCGGAGGACCCCGCGCCCCCGCAGCCCGCGCGGGACGGGCCGCCCCTCCCCGGCGGGGCTTCCTGAGGGGAGGGCGCGGGGCCGCGGGCTCTGGACTCCAGCGGGTCGCTTGCTGTTTCCGATGCTGAAGTTTGTGTTTTTGTGTTTTTGGTAGACAGATGCCGGTGGCAACCTCACAATAAAACTTTGTTGACCAAAATGGGAATCTACCCTTTAGTCATACTTTGCTGGTTTAATTTTTTAGAACTATGGCCTCAATTATCATTATTGATCTTGTTAGTGATTTTAGTCCAGATTTTGCTCATGGCTTGTTCCATCCATCCTTTCTGGCTTGGAAAAGGCCTGAGGCATCTGATCGCTTAGACACCACTGTGCCTGTTTGGGGCCTTATTTTCAGCTCGTCCTTGCTAAAATTACTATAAAATGTTTGTGTACACCTAAATAGGTGTAATGGACATTCCTTTTCCTAATACTCAGATTGGAACACACATTCACGGCAGAGTTCAACTTCCTTTTAGAATATCCCAAGACTGAGAGCCTGATTCCTGGCTCATAGGCCTTTTCACTCTGTTCCCACAGGGCACAAGGAACAAGGATGCTCGCTGGGACCTTTTTGATTAGGACACAAATCCCATTGGTGAGGTTTTGCGCTCATGAGCTAAGCACCTTTCAAAAGTCCAAATATCATCACATTGGAGGGTAGATTTCAACATATGATTTTTAAGGGAACACAAACGTTCAGTCTGGTAGAGGTACACATGAAAACATTTTTAAAAATCAATAATCCAAACCATTTTTGAGTAAGTCAACTGACCACTTATACATGGTGAAAGTGAACTGTTCAGAGGAGGCAGGTTTGTTTTTGAGAATTCTCCGAGAAGAGAATGGGAATCCTGATGTAGATGGAACATGGGCCTGGGAGAAAGTGCTTGTGCTTATTCTGAGTTCCCTGGGTTCTGTGACTAGTACAATATTTTCTCAATTGCATGGTGAATTAATTTTTTAAAAGTACACCTCATTTAGAATGTTTTTAAAACCTTTTTTGAAAGTCTTGGTAAATCTCCTTTCTTTGGAATCAATCAACAAGGAGCAATGTCTTTTTATCCTCATAATGGAATCACTCTTGTATTTTTACCATTTCAGAGACAAAAAGTGCTGGACCATCTAGTGTTTCCCTTTCCCCCACTTCTGGTGACTCACTGAAACTATTTGGAGACAACATTTAATTATTTAAATTTTTATTATAAATATAGATCACATTTTTATTTTCTTTATTTTTTTAATTACTTTTTTTTTTTTTTTTTTTTTTGGTCTAGCACTGCTCTACACAGTTGTCTGTGTAGGATCTCCTGCGTTAGGTGTTATTACTGCCTTGCACCCGCCACAGAGACACTCAGAGTTCATAACCATGGGTCACTGTGCTCCTCCCCCACCTTGCTCTTGCCCTTTCCATCCACATTGCCCCTCTGGTAGCCTCAGTTCTGTAGTCAGCTTTTTTGTGTTAGTTCTTAATTTAGCTGACCTTTGTTTGAGTCTATATGAACATGGGAGTGCTTGTTCCCTTCAAATTAGTTTTTTTGCACTATTCTGGTAGATACCTAGGAGTGGAATTGCTGGGTCATATGGCTGATCCATTTGTAATCTTTTGAGAAACTTCCGTATTGTTTTCCATAGGGGATTGGACCAGTGCATTCCCACCAACAGCGTAAGAGAGTTTCTTTTTCTCCACATCCTTAACCAGCACTTGTTGTTTCTGGTCTTTTCCATATGGGCCATTCATACAGATGTGAGGTGGTTCTTTCATTGTGGTTTTGATTTTCATTTCTCTGACAATAACGAAGTTAAATGTTTTTAATGTGCCTATTGGCCATCTGTATGTCTTCTCTAGGGAAGTGCCAATTTAGCTCTTTTGCCCATATGTGTATGGGGGGTAGGGGTTATTTGTTTTCTTTTTGTTAAGTTATATGACTTCTTTGTAGACCTTGAATATCAACCCTTTGTCAGATGAATGGTGTGCAAATATTTCTCACATTCAGTAGTATGTCTTTTTGGTTTAGTGATGGTTTCTTTCATTGTGCAGAAGCTTTTCAGTTTGATGTAGTTCCAGTTATTGATATTCTCTTGTTATCTTTGTTTTTGAAGAAAAATCCACAAACACATCTCTGAAGCCTATGTCAACTGTATTTTGCCTGTATTTTCTTCTCTGTATTTTAGGGTTTCAGGTATTATATCCAAGTCTTATTCATTTTGAGTTTATTTTTTGTGTGGTGTGAGATAGTGGTCTATTTTCATTCTTATGCATGTGGCTGTCCATTTTTCTAACAGCAGTTATTGGAGAGGCCTTCCTTGTTCCCATGTATATTCTTGGCTTCTTTTTCATAGTATAATTGTCCATATGTGTGGGTTTGTTTCTGGGATCTCAGTTCTAGTCCATTGATCTGTGCACCTGGTTTTTGTTCTAGTACCATACTTTTTTGATTGTTATAGTTTTGTAGTATGGTTTGAAGTCTAGAAGTGTGATGCTGCCATTCTTCCTCTCTTTTGTCAGGATCACTTTGCTATTCAGGATTTTTTTTTTTTTTTTTTGGTTCCATGAGAATTTCAGTATTGTTTGTTCTATTTCTTTGAAGAATGCCATTGAAATTTTGATAGGTATTGTTTTGAATCTGTATATTGCTTTCAGTAGAATGGCTATTTTAACAATGTTGATTCTTCTGGTATGAACAGGGGATGTCTTTCTATTTCCCTGTGTTTTTTTCAGCAAAATTTCATAATTTTATTTGTGTAGGTCCTTTGCCTCCTTTGTTAAGTTTACTCCTAGGTGTTTACTTTTTTCTTTTTTGGTGTAGTTGTGATGATCATAATTTTCTTAATTTCTTTCTTTTCTACCTCATTGTTTGTATATAGGAAGGTGACTGATTTTTGCGTGTTGATTTGTACCAGGTCATTTTGCTGAACTGATTTATTGTTTCAATTAGTTTTCCAATGGATTCTTTAAGATCCTCTACATGTAATATCATGTCATCTGCAAGTAATAAGTACATTACTTCTTTCCCCATGTAGATTCCTTTTATATGCTTTTCTTGCTTAATTGCCCTAGCCAAGACTAACAATACTATGTTGAATAGTAGTAGTGAAGTGGAAATCTTGTCTTGCACTGGATCTTAGTGGAAAACCTTTTAGTTTTTCACCACTGAGGATGATGTGAACTGTGGGCTTGTCATGTGACTTTTATTATATTGAGATATTTACCATTTATCCTCAGTTTTTTGAGGGTTTTCATCATAAATGGATGTTGAATCTTATCAAATGCCTTCTCAGGATCTATTCTATGTCATATGATATCTATCTTTATTTTTAGTGACATGGTGAATTATACTGATTGATTTTCAGATGTTAAATCACCCTTGTGTCCCTGGTATAAATCCCAATTGGTCATGATGTAAAAAATATATTATGCAGATAGATAATTGTTATCTGGGTATCTAAGGGAATACAAAGAGACTGATGGTTGAAAAGAAATGAAGAAGGGTAGGTTAGAGATGGAAGTGGTGAAGACATGTTTCAACAAGAGTGAGGTATGAGAAGTTCATAGGCAACTTAATACATTGTTGGTACTTAACACATTGTTGGTACTTAAAGGGTACTTAGTACGTTGTTGGTACTTAAAGGGGGTTAATTTATTAACCCCCTTTAGTACATTGTTGGATTTTGCTTGCTAAGATTTTATTGAGGAACATCAGTAGGGAAATTGGCCTGATTTTTCTTTTTTCTTTTTTGTATGATCTTTATCTGGTTTTGAAATTAGTACAATGTTGGTTTCATAAAATGTGTTTGGAAGTATCCCTCTCTCAGTTTTTTGAAAGTTTGTGAAGGATAGCTATCAGCTCCTTTTTGAAGATTTGTTAGAATTCACTTATAACACTGTCTGGTCCTGGGGTTTTGTTTTTGGGGACAGTTTTGATTACTGTTGTATTTTCCTTGTTTGTTGGTTGGTCTGTTCAGGTCTTCTATTTATTTCCTACTTAGTCTTGGATAGTTGTATGATTCTAATAATATATCAGTCTCTTCTAGTTTATGAATTTATTAGCATATACATGTTCATAATAATCTCTTATTATCCTTTGAATTTCTACTTCTGTTGTAATTTCTCCTCTTTCATATCCAATCCTATTTGAATTTTCTCCCTTTTTTTTTTTTTTTTTTTTTTTTTGGTAAGCCTAGCTAGATGTTTACCTTTTTTTCCCCAGAGAACCAGATTTTGGTTTCTTCAATCTCTTGGACTGTCTTTTTCATTTCTATTCCATTTATTTCTACTTTAATTTTTGTAACTTCCTTTCTTTTTTCTTGGTATGAGCCTCTATTGCTATATACTTTCCTTTTCATAAAGCTTTTGCTGTATCCCATAACTTCTAGAAGATTGTTCCCTTGTTATCACATTTCTCAAGGGTTTATATATATAAATATCTTATATATAAGATATATAAAAGATATATAAGAATATACATATACATATATCTATGTATGTATGTGTGCATATAGATATATATATGACTTAACAGATATTTCTTTGGTTTCCCTATTAACACAATTTATATTCGGTAGTGTGTTGTTTAGTTTCCATCTATTAGAGGTTTTTTTTTCCTGATTTTGTGGTTTATTACTAATTTGATACCCTTATTATCAGATAATATGCTTGGTTTGATCTTGATCTTCATAAATTTGTTGAGACTTGTCTTGTGACCCAACATGTGATCAATACTGTAGTATGACCCATGTGACACATGAAAATAATATTTATTAAGTTTTTTGGGGGGTGTGGTGCCCTATCAATTCTGTTAAATAAGAAAAACAAATGAATATACTGAGAAACAAA